GCTTATAAAAAGCTATAATCTATATCATTAAGCTACACCAAACACACAAAAATAACTTATTTTAAGCTATAAGTTGACTTAAGTTGAAAATAAGTTGTGCCAAATAGGCACTAAGTTTATTTCTATGTTTCTAGCGACTTCTGAACTAATTTGTGTTTTCATTATTCATGTCAGAAATTGCTTGGAGAGATGAAAAATATGGTCAAAGAAGACTGAATATTCAAGAATTTTGAGTTTTTCTTCAGTTTTTTATTTTTATTTTTCTAAAAAGATTTTGATTGTGTAATCACAGAAAAAAAACCTTTTATTACTTAATTTTCATTGTATATATTTTTCCAACATTTGAGTTTCGTTTATGAAATATATGAGATAATTAGCTATTCATATGTAGTCAATGTTGTGATTTAAAAAAACTTTTTGTACAAATAATATTGATTATATTTTAGATATTAATTATGTTCAGATTTTAATCGCTATTTACACACTGTAATTGATAGTCACATTTTATGGTTGAACCTTTATTTTATTACACACACTAACCGTGATGAGAAATATATATAACTGCGATCTTATCTCATTATTAATCATGGATTATTTAAGTTTAATCTCAGGTTTTATTGATTATTAGTCACACTTAAAATCTGTGATCTAAATGTTTATTATCACGGTTAAAACACGTGATGGAATTATCTTTTAATGACAGTCAAAAAGTTTGATAAAAAATTACCCTCAATAAAAAATTCTTGATTAAATAACATACATTACACTTAAAATTCGTGATATATTTATGATTTTATAGTAGGGCGGCCAACCATATCCCTCAACCACTAATTACCTTCCATCACCACAAACTATCTCTTACTGGCCATAACGATCTTTGGTTATCACTTTTTATTGAAAACCACTTTCAATTATGACTCTAGGCGGCTAACCGGTCATCATCTCCAACCACTTCTTATGTACAATAATCACCTCTAGCCTTTACCTCTCATTGCCAACAACCACCTTTGGCCACCATTTCTAATCGTCTACAATCACGTCTCATAGTCTATATTTTCACTTGATTTCAAAATAAAATTATTAAATACTTATATATCAAACATACTTTTTGTTTTCATTTTTATTGAAAATAAACATGAACATATTTATTGTTTCTTGTAATAAAAAAAATAATAAACTATAAATTTTGCCAAATGACACCTTATTTGTAGACTGTTTTCTGCAAGTGAACTTTATAGATTAATGAGTTAAGTTTGGCCAGAGCTAGTTTATCACAAAACATTCATTGAAATTTTCTATTTATTTTCGGTCGACTCACAAGTTGGTGAGCATAAAGAATGAAAACACACATGACAGATTTCACTTCTGAAAGAGGAAGGAAAATGTTGAAAGATAGGTAGAACCACGACAATAATTGTACATTTATAAATTTTAGGATTTTAAAAATATTTGCAAAATATGAAAGATAAGAAAAACAAATATATCAAGTTTTGTAAGGAAATGAAAGCTAAACACATTCGAACTCCTTTTACAAATTTTCTAGAGCAGGTAAGATTGACCCTTACCCGCCAATCTGCCTATAGGTTGACCTGAACCCGCTAAACTGCATATAATTTTATGGGTTTAGACCCTATTATGATATTAGAAAGAGAGAGAAGAGAAACCTGTATTGAATAGTATGAATAATGAATGAGTACAAGTTTTTTAGATGGTATGAAACAGTAGCCATACAAAACAAATTATCTACAACCTACTGCATCTCTCTCTAACTTTTTTTTTAAAATTTTTTTAAATATTTTTTATCTAGTTTGCTTCTGATTATTTGGATAAAATGTGATTAGCAACAAAATTCTTTGAACAATATTTATCTCTCCCTCTAACTTCGATTTTGAATTGTTTTTTTTCAACTACTTCTAGCTCTATTTGCATGCATCTGCTCTATTTGCATGCATCTATATGTACACGGAATGTGAGCCCACTTGATAGGTGTGTTTAAAATATAAATTTTAATTTTAAATTTGAAATATATTTTCTATGTTGTTTAAGTGGTGAAAAGTGTTTTTTTATTATATCAATCAATGATCATTGGTTGAGGTCTTATGCCCCCTTGTGTAACTATGATCTTTTTTTTTCCTTTTAAATAGAGAAATTGACACTTGGCGCAATAAGAGAAGGTCACTTGGCAAAAAGAGAGAAGAGGTTCATAAAATCAAGTGAATTGTCCACTTTTAATAATATAATATAAATAGAAGTATAGAAGATATACACATCTATCTATTTATACTATTATTAAATGAAGACTAGATTTGGCGTCCAAGCCTTTTTCTCATGCCACGTGACATTTTTTTTTATCCTAAAAACAAAAATTACATAAAGTGTTGAAAGAGGTTTGAATCCAAGACTTTTGATTTCATTAAGAAATCTCACATCACATGGGCAACATATACATATTAAAATATTAATTTCTTTATTATTTGTTTTTATTCTTACTTATTCGAATTGTATATGCAAATGCGTGCGTCACCCGCTAATCTATACATATGGAAACACACATATATATAGATATATATATTGTTATATATGTGTTTAGGTTCAAATTTATTTTTTATTTTTATTTTTAATATAGGACTATATACATGTGTATGTAATTTTCTAAAAACTATTTATGACATTTTTTGTTTGGCACCATTTTTTATTATTTTTAAAATTTGAATATATTATAAAATAAGTTCATTAAAGTAAACGGGTTAGTCAAATTGATTTGTCTAATTCGCACTCAATTTAACTCAACCCGTTTAAACCCAACCTGTAAATGGGCCGGGTTGGGTTGAATTATTTTATTACCTAACCTGTTTTAACCCGCCCATTTACTACCTCTACAAATTACTAATACAAGGGATTAGATAAGAGTAGTGACTTCAGCAATGGGGATCACTTTATAAATTTAAGTTTTACAAATTTTAAAAACAAAAAACAACTTTTAAACTAAATAACATTTATTGTGTTTGGTTCTAAATTTTTAAAAGTAGTTTTTGAGTGTTTTTTTTTTTTTTTTTTTTTTTTGAAAAATGTATTGATATATATTAGTAATTTTCTTAGATGCATCTAAAAATATTTTTTTTTTTGTGAAAAATGTACTAAATTTTTTAATTTTTTATATTTAGTCAATTTTTTTATATAAAAAAATTCACAAATATTTTACTTTTTAAATGTATTTAGATTAAGAGAATCTAAAAAGAAAGAAAGAAAAAATCTGCTTAAAATGTTTAAAAAATTCACCAAAGATGAGTAACCTCAAAATATAACTATATTGCCATATATACATGAGAAGGTAAATGATAGGATATTATTGGATGATGATACCAATAACATAATATTACTATTATATTGAACATTTTTTTTTCATTTCATTCATAAGAAGTAGGGGTGGGCGCGGGTCGGTTGCGGCCACGGAACCTCCAATCCGCCATCCGTCCGCCAGATTGGCGGATTGAAGAAAATCAATCCGCATCCGTCCGCCAATCCGGAAGAGCCTTCATTGTGTAGCGGCCTCAACCTTCCGACATCCGACATTGATTGAAAATACTTATTGAAGAAGCCGTTTAGAGCGAAGGTGTCTGCGCCATAAATTATACGAGACTGCGGTATAAGGAACCAAACCAAATTGAGGAGTTCGCCACCTTCTCTAAGCTGTTGAAGATGGTAATTTTTTGGACAACTAATTGCAGCGTAGCATAACATGGCCAACCACAAGATTTTCAATTTTTCCCATTTCACCTCATTATTACCTTGGTCGACGAGTTCAATAATCACATCTTCATTGAAAGAATCCATCGCCTGTGCGAAATCCAATTTGGCTCCTTGTCTTTTTTCTTTTTCAAGAGAAAAAGATCTTGCCACCTCATTGAAATCTTTTATCATATCCGAGAGAGACCATTTGCGTCCTTCTTCTCTGGCTCGTCTTTTCTTTTCTCTACATATAAGAGTTTTAAAAATTAAATTTTTTTATCTTTAAAAATATAAATTTTGTTCTAAAAAATATTTAGGGATTAATTTCAATTGTCGTGAGGGCAGATGAAAAAAGTCATACTGAAAAGTAAAAAAAATGAGTTTTTAGGAGCAAACTTTTAAAATATCACTAATAAATACATTTGTAAGGACAAAATAATTTGTTCTCATAGATTTTTTTTTTTTTTTCTTTTTTGAGACAAAACTTTTGGTTTCAAAAGGCTAAGGTAGCGTTTGGTAGAGTTTTGTAAATGTGATTTGAGAGTATGAGTTGTATTTTGAGTTTGTGTGTTGTGGAATTATGATTTGAGTGTAGAAAATTTGTTTGGTAAAGAGTTTTAGTTGAATCCATCTTGCAAAATCACACTTGAGAATTGGTGGATTTGCCACCAGGTTGTAAACATCTTGGGTACAAGTGGATTTTTAAGAGAAAAATGAAAGCGAATGGATCAATTGACAAATACAAGGCAAGACTTGTGGTCAAAGGATATAGACAAAAACAAGGTCTTGATTATTTTGTCACATACTCACCAGTTACTAGAATAACATCCATTAGAATGTTAATTGCCATTGCATCTTTGTACAATCTAGAAATTGATCAAATGGATGTGAAAACAATTTTCGGACATCCGGGTGGACATCCGGGTGGACATCCGGGTGGACAACCAGGTGGACAAAAAAGGCGCATGTGCATCAGAGTTCTCTCTGTAGAGTGTAGAAAATTGATTTGAAAACGAAACCAAACATCATGCTCCAACACACGGGTAGAAAACTGATTACAGAGCACAACCAAACAGAGCCTAATAATTCATCACTAAATATCTAATTTTATCGCTAAAAATAAAATAATAACATTTTTTGTAATAAAAATATTTTGTCCCTAAAAAGTAATATTGTTCCTAATTTTTTTTTTTTTTTTTTTTTTTTTTCAAATCATAATTTGCTGTAGTGATAACATCGGTAATATACCTGAAACAAAAACTGTAATATACCTGAAACGAAAACGGGCATTGCGTATGTAAGCCATCAACTGCCTATCCGATACAACAATGGGCAACTACGAACGGCAGGTGAGGAGTAGATACATCATGTAATTTGATAGAGTTTTGCATGTTTCCTTGTCATCATGATGTCCACATGAGTTAGCACTATTTTCGGAAGTGCCTGTAGCCGACTCTAAATCTGACTCTGACTTACTAGCATCATCAAAAAAACCGTATAATATATCTGTTATGAAGTGCATAATAATAATTTGGTCATGAAAAGCTATAGAGCCAAAGAACCCCTCAAGACTCCCAAGGTCAATCGAGTTGTTTGCGGCACGATAAATAAATTGTTTAATCATAGGATATAGCGTCGGAGGGATACTATGCATGTGCCTTTGGAACTCGTCCTGAATCCCCAACCACTCAAGTATTCTACACCATTTTGGACGCTTGTTTTCCTCTTCGAATAGATCGATTTGCCCCATATTTTTAGACCACTTCTTCTTTTCAAAAAACCAAGGAAATTTCTGCAACAATTGGATTGCCCATTTGCCTCTGCCGCACTTAATTAGCCAAAGCATCGCCCAATCAGAGAATAATAACAAAATGACTGCATAAATCTCCAAAGCTAGAGCTCCGACCAATAATACCCCTGCGATGATAATATCAACCATGGAGTAGTGCTGCTTGTGCCACTTCGCTTCCATGGCGATAAGCTGGAAGAGTCCTACCAACACAGACACCGTACACATGAAGCTGATAGAGCGAAAAATGCACCCTCTCTTGGTAAATGTTATGGGTGCTTTTGTGTATAACAAATCGTACATGAGCCCTATTTCAACCTCCAATATATCCCCAATATATGTATCATCACCCAGATTCATTGCATTCAGAAATATTTTGTTAGGATACCGTGGCATGAATGCATATCTACCAATGTCATAATTCTCTATATAATTTTTAAATCTCTCCACCAGTATGCAGGCCATACCTAAAAATTCATCTCTCTCATCTTGTTTGATAAGGCGAGCAGGTTTACGTTTGTATAGATCATATAGATCAAGAGAAAAGGGTACAAAGCTTCTGAACCCATCCCGGCATGCTAACTTAAGAGCCCATGTTCTCTCCCCATACTTAATAATTCCAGCCACGAATGCGGGAACTAACATAAATGAAAACCAGAAATGCCTCCAAGACATAACAATGACATAAATTGCCACAGTAGCTTGAATACCCATGCCCAAAAAGTGCCTTATCCACAATTGATTATCTTCTAATGAAAAAGCAGTTATAGTATCTGGGCCACCAAGATGCAATAAAAGTAAGGGTGACCATAATGCCTGTAATGCATTATTAGGATTAGGAATATTATTTTGGGTATCTGAGAGCTTGCTGAGGGCAATAGTTGCCACTGAATCGGCCATTATGTAGGCCAACCAAACAATCACATTAATCCATTGTGACGCCATATTCTTTCTACGTTTGCCAAAGACAAAAATAATGATTTGTAAAGTGAGACTAAATAGAACCAGCATCCGAACATCCCACACATCCCATAGTATCTTCCACGATGCTGGAATTAGATTCATCACAGCCTTCTCTTCTTTATCCACATGGAGAGAAAATTAAGTTACTATAAGTAAACATATACGGATAAATATGAATTGAACATTATTATCCAACCTAAAAAATTAGACTCACTTTTTAAATTTAATGATGTGGCACTTAACTAGAATATCTAAAGTAACATTTTTTCTTATATCTTCTCTATCATCAACCAATCATCTCACTTACACATCATTGGGTTTAAAAAGTGAACTTGTATATCATTTTCCATCATGGTAACGCCATTATAATTGAGAATGAATGTTAAAAAATTTCTACAATACAACTCTTTTTTTTTTTTTTTTTTTGGTGCAAAATATGCAAGTTATAATAATTTATGATGTCAATAGCACTACAAAGTGTCTTAATCAAACCACTTTCAGTCAAAACTAAAGAAATCAAAATGGGTCATAACTAAATACCCTAATGAATTATAATTAACACCACAATAAATCATAGTCAACATCAAAATGAGTCATAACCAAACGCCACTTGTGTCATAACTAAAGACTTTTTTTAATCATAACCAAAATAAAAATAAATAAATAAATAAGAAAAAACACAATAGTCACTAACTTTTGCAGATAAAAAAAATAACAACCATAATAAATCATAACAAAGTCCTAACCAATTCCCTAATAGGTAGTAACCAAGTCAAAACCAATATTACAATCGATTATAACCAAGCATCACAAAAGTCGTAACTGGGAATATGATACACTCCTTTTTTGAAGTGTGTTTTCATAGAATTTCCCACTAAAGTGAAGAGAAACGTCATAAACTCAAAATTTAAGTCTCTCAATTTACTCACAAATGTAACACCCTGATTTTCAAAGATTAATTAGGCAGAAATTAACTAGCCAAAGCGTGAGATTTTTTTTTAAAAAAAAACAGAAACTTCATTCTCATTCAATTAATTATAAAAATCTTTTTCAAATCCATTTTCTTTTCACAAGTCTACATAAGAAAATACCATGGACGAAACCATAATCCCACTCTCCGTGTATTTCAATTAATATTACATAATCATTATAAATGGAACGCCCCAAAGCTTACAATAAATGAGAGAGCACTGCTCCTTACAAAGAACGGCACTAAGCCAAATAAACAAATGGAGTATTATAATTCATTACTACATTATAACTATGAAATGGTAAAACCAGCTATTCGATCTTCAAATCCAAAAAGCATTTCTTGTATACATGTACAGATAGGGGGTGAGCAAACTACTAGTTTACTAAGCAATCTCATATTATAACATTAAAAAACATGTAGGTCCAGCGATACAGTGATACCAAACAGATATATATAAAGTCATACCATGTTATAACTTTATGATTTTATTACCTAATTCCTTAAATTCAAATTTAATTAATTAACCATACTTGTTAACTTAAATAAATTAACATACTTTAATGTCAACAAGATATTCTTTTCAAAACGAATGTGATGCCAAAGTTTATAACACAAGTTATATGCATGCCTTTTTTTCAAAGTAGAAAATAAGCGGTAAATACACATTTTGGGAATCTCTATCAAGCATAATGTTTCACGGAAATTTCGTCTACAAAAAATCGCAAACCAACACCCATGTAAACGTAAGTTATACAAGCGGTACTATTGTCATTTCACAAAAATTTCGTCCACCGAATCAACACCCATGTATACGCGCGGTTTTTAGGACTTTCACCATGAATACATAAGCCAACTTAATTTGAAGTAACCATATCTCTTATCCAGATTTACCAAAATATTCACCCACTTTTCTCAAAACAATTCATTTCCAATGATTAAGTACGCAACAATGTTCCATGCAATGTGTATGAGAAGTTAATTTCCGTTCACCCAATCCACATGTAATTTCTACAACAATCAATACTATCATCCACCGATAGCCAAAACAGTTATCTCTAATGCATTAATTAAAAGATAACAACATGGATATATAATCCAACATACAACCATGACTTGGAATCCTCCATGATTCCCAACACTTTGAAACAATCCATATTCCACTTTTTAAAGCCAAACTTTCAAAATTTACATAATTTTTCATTAAACTCAACAATTTTAAAACCAAACATAATCTTTTCCAAATAATCCAACAACTCCCAAAACATTAACATTTAGGATCTTTCACGAATTAGAGCTTTCTCACTTTCAAATACCCACATGCAACGTATATACAGAAAATACATTTAATAGCAAGATTATAGGCAATCAACTCCTAATTTAGTCAAACCCTCAATTTACAAATCAAGTATCTCATATATGAATTTGAGGTACAAAAATAACATATTAGCATACTCTAACTAGTAAAACTAATAATCAATTTCCCAATTGTTTTGACTCACACAAAATTCTCAATCAACTTTGTTCCACCTCAACCAAGATAACCAATATGATTTTCACCAAATCTCATACTTATTGAATATTACCATTTCCATCCTACTATATTAAAACTTATGGTATAATCTCAATAATACACTTTTAATTATAAAAGATATAAAATATGAACCAAACTAATTTAATCCATCAAATTAGTAAGTTCATTATATTCAAAATTTTCTAAATTAATAATACCAAACATAACTTCACATGTCTTATCTCTCAAACATAACTATATTTCAACATAACCATATGCCAAGCTCCTTAAAAAGTTAATTAATTTCCCCCCCCCCCAAATTATCTATCAATAACAATTTCACAACTTTTTCTAAAATTAACTAATCAACATGATATTTACATCAAAAATTATGAAATATGCCTAAGGGTAACATTTTCAAGGTTGTGAGTTCAAAAGTCCACATTTCATATTTTTCACATTCACAAAAATGAACAAAATTTAATCATAAATATATCGCCATTAATAGAACATCATGAATACAACACTTTTAGGGTTTTTAATCCCAAAACAGCTCTATAATTCCAACTTAACAACTTACACAATATTCATCAACATCTATTTATTTTTCTCAAAAATAAATTTCAAAATCAAAGATGAGATAATATTTCAATATTATTTTTTTTTCTCAAAATAAATTATATAATCATAACATGATATAGATACCAAGCATACAACTATTAAAATTTAATCTCGGATTTTTAACAAAATTTATCAACACAAGATGATTTTCCCAAATCAAGTTCAAGACACAGATATTACTAACATTTCAACATGATTTTTTTTCAAAAATTATCCAAACAAAATCTGAGAATAATATATACACAATACCTCCTATAATAATATATTTTTTCAAATTATTCCCAACATAGATTTAAAGCAATAATATGAAGAAAATTCTTACCTCAAATAATGAAGAAGAGTTGATTTCGGAGACAAATTGTGCCCGATTTTCAATCCGAGACTTCCGCTACGAAGAGTACATGGTGAGTTCTCCAGCTTTTATTTACAAAATTTTTACCAAATCTTATTCTAAAGACTCCCGCTCGAAGTTTAAAGCTTGAGCAATAATAAAGGTTAGAGAAAGAGAGACGCATAGGAGAGAGAGACAGCTCCTGCTTAAGAAAGAAAAACAAAGAACAAAGAAGTAGAAGGAAAAAGAGAAAGAGGGTTGGGGGCAGCCCATCGTGGGCTGTCATCTATCAATTGATACGATCAATTTTATAATAATATTTTAAAATTTTATAACATAAATTATAAAATGATATAATTTTTCTGATCACAAAAATATAATATTTTTATACATCACAAAATATAGATTACGAAATATACACCTATTTTTATTCACTATAAAAATATATGATTTTTCACCATATGGTACACACCATAAATTCAGCTCTCAGATATATATTATAATCCCATATAATGAATAATAACAACTCTCAAGGTGGACACTTCCAATCACATAATTAAAAAGGATTAAACAGTTAAACATGAGTCATAAACAAATTCAAATTAAGTTGAATCTAGTCAGGAGTCTCGAATTAAATTCTTACCTATAAGGCAAACATTGTCCAATTATATACCAAAATAGATCCAACAAATTTATCTCAAGTCATGTCTAAACATTCAAAATTTAATAACGAAATTCTACTATAAATTAAACTGAACACTAATTAATCCACGAATTTTCATAAAATAAATATCATCATTTAATTTTGAAATTTTTATCCAACATGTTAGACTCATATAGGAACAACATATAAAAATATCATAATTTTCTGAGATCGGAAACCATTTTTAAAAAGTACAAAATTGAAATTTTTTTCTCACAAAATTTACACAGAAATCAAATTAAAAAATTTATTCAATTAAATTATGCATTGACTATATAATGAAAGAAAAAAAAAATTGAGCCATTACAACAAAGGCATAATAAGATTATATGATTGAGTTTGTAACCTATAAAAATTGACACATAATCTATCAACTCATTGTGAGACTTAAATTAAGAATCTTAATCTTTTTTCTAAAATCAATTAAAGCCACGCGCCTTTTCCTTTCCTATCTAAAAGTAACATGCAACGTCTTTCGGTGACAATTAATAATGATTAAAAAGAGAACATGTCATAATTTTTTTTATTTTCATCCAAAACACTAATTTCGAAAAGTTAACACTTGATGTGGATTCAACTAATTAACATAGTTTCATTTAATATTATATTTAGTTGATGTGTTAATTAATAAATTAATTAATATTTTTCATATTACTGTGAAATAATTGTCTTGATTTATGTCTAACTCGTGAATCACCTCACCTATTTATTTATTGGTCTTGCTAATAATATAGCCCTAAAAACTATCAATAAGAAACACAAAATGCCAAAACAAAAATAAATAAATAAATTATAATCTAAATATACTTTTCACATATTTTTAAAAATTAAAATAAATAGAAGGGTTAGATATTATTTTTTTAAAAAAATTAAACAATATATATTTTTAAGCATGACACATGTATTTTTAAACGTGACATAAAAATATGTGCTACACATTTTTTTAATTTCTTTTTATACGTGCCATGTGAAATTTCTTTTTTGATTAATAAATGGATCATAATTATTCTGACCGTTAAAAAGTTTATAATTCTTTAGACGTCATATATATTGTTTGTTTTTTTAAAAAAAGAATGATATATTTTGACTCAGATCTAGGTTAGATATGATGAGTAAAACATTGATAAATTTCTTTTTTGATTTTCATTATTATATTAAGATTTTTAAATTTCAAAAATCATATATATGGTTAGACGGACCTATATTTCTATGATATTTGTACTTCTTAATATTTTAAAATTTTTAGAAAATAAGAAATTTAGATTAATGTTTTGGAGCTCATAGATATTTTCAAACACAATTTAATTTTTAATCAGTAAATATTTTTAGAAATGTTTTTATAACAAAATAGGAAATATGTATATATTACTTTGGTATATTTATTAACATTTTAAAACTTTAATTAAGAAATTATATATTTATTCTTAAAATAAGTCTAATACCTATTGTATCAACATTAAAATATATTTATATCTGAGATATTAATTTCATGATAGTTGTGAAAGATTACGGGATCTTCACTTGTGTGAGTTCCCTACCCAGCATTTAATATCTAGTTGGTTTCTCACTATTGCACATTAATAAAAAAAGGTGATTAGAAGAACAAAATTCTAATCTTATAGGCTGTTAGTTTTGAATTTTGATAATATATTACAATCTTATCAAATGAAACACCTTCATTTTCATGAAATAAAAAGAATCAAAATCTCACCTTTTATAAGTTCTTTTATTGAAATTTGTTGGTTTAAGATTGATTCATTGTTTGAAAAGAATCAATCTAAACATAGTCAACCACCTTAAAAGGTGGATAAATAATATTTTCATAATAATAATAGTAAAAAAGTTGTGAAGGCCACCCATGTGACTTCCTCGAACAAACTGTTTACAATAAAATAAAATTTAAAAGTGGTCAACTTTCATCTATTTGTATTAAATAAGTATGGAACTCATTATTTGGTGGGTGTGCCTATCACAAATCCCACGTGCCTTGTTGGCATAAATGAAGGACACTTAGATCTTAAGTTTATTTTTAATTTTTTGGAGCTATAAGATTTAAGTTTTATTTTTTTGGGTTAAAATGATATAATTTATCTAAAAAAAAATTATTTGTTAAAATCAATTTATTTGTCTATTTTTTGAAATCACTCTATCTATTAAAATTCACCCAATTGTCTATCTGTTGAAATTTACCAAATTTATTTTTCTATCTATTAAAATTTACCAAACAACCTATCTGTTGAAATGTAACACATGTCACTCATTCAATACTATATCTATTGAATATCACATAATTTTTAACCTTACTGCTACCACTCCCACCGTCGCTGACAACTCTTACGGCCATTTTCCGGCAACTTTTCTAGAGCCCATAAAATTTTTCAGTGACTTTTTTCGGCGTCGACAACTTTTTTAACGTGTTCTTATTACCAAATAAGATTTTATCTTAAATCTAATATCTCCTACCCTCTTTAAAATGAAATTTTCATCATTTTTTGCTAAACGGATTAATACAAGTACGTAAGTGGCTTACACTTACTAACATTTAATGAGTAGAAAAAAAAAAAAAAAGAAAAAGAAATTTACAATATGCATTCTTATAAAAATGTACGTTTTGAAAAGAATAAATTATATTAATCTCTTTTGATATTTAAAAAAATACAATAAATTTTATAGTTTTAACATAATTATATTAACTTTCTTTTTAGTAAAATTAAATAGACCAAAAAATAATGAAAATAATGTGAAATCACAAAAAAAAAAAAAAAAAAAAAAAAATTGAAAAACAAAAAAAAAAAAAAAAAAAAAACAAAACAAAACAAAAAACAAAAACAAAGTAAAGTATATATTTTCGCGTAAAAAATATGAATTTTTTTTTTATTCATATAGCTAATAAATTATTGATGAAAATAGAGTTAAGTATTATATGAATTAAAATCTCAAGAAAACTCAACGCAATTATGCCAAAACTGTAAAACTAACTGTATTTTTTTCAAATCTTAAGGGAGATTAATGTAATATACCTATTTTAAAAAATTATAACTTTTTACAATAAAAATTACAAGTATTTGTAGTGTTATCTAATTTGTGATAACATTCTATTTTGTTATTTAAGTTACAAAAATTTATAATATAATTGTGAGGGGCATGCTATATATACATTTTTAAAAGTGTACGTGGTAATATTATTTATCCCAAAAAATGAAGGAAAAATGCTTCGCACTCCTTTTTTGGGATCTTCACAACTTCTTTTAGATCTCAACTATTGATGGTATGGGATTCCACACCATCAATAGTTGAGAACTAAAAAGGGTTGTGGGGGTCCAAAAAAAAAAAAAGAAATCTCAATCATTGTTAAAACAAAAGAATATGTCAAAATCCAATGCAAAACCAAACAAATGACTCTTTTAAATTCGTCTCCAACAATTTTCTCAAATTTATATTATTGAAATAACATTGATGAATTAGGATAAATTATACTTTGCCCCATTATGGTTGACCACTTTTTTACTTTGGCCTTTAAAATTTATTTTTTCTCATTTTGACCATTTATGTTTTAAGTTCTTTTCAATTTCTTCTAAAGCTAATTTTTGTTTAAAATTAGATAGAAAATACCATAATAACTATCACATAACATAAAAATATATATTATTATATTAAAACTTAAGTTTATGTAATAAAATATTTTTATGTCACCTAACTGTTAATGTGTCATTTTCTATTTAATTTATAATATAGTTTAGTTTTAAGAGTACATTGAAAAAAAATTAAAACATAAAAGGTTAAAATGGAAAAAAATAAAATTTAAAAATTTAAATAAAAAAATAACCAACATAAAAGGAGAAAAATATAATTTAATCGTTAAATTATAATATTTTGAACATCAGTGCACCAAATGTTGGTTTTGTCATTATGAAACCAACCTCGCATTTAGTGATCTGCCAAATCACAAATCAAAGTTAAAAATTGCCATTAGAACACAAAACACCCACCCAACACAAAAGAGTAAAGCTGGGCATAAGGTTATCCAAACTGTCCAATCTGTTCAACTCGAACCGATCCATATACAAATAGACGGTTTCGCAGACACAATGCGGGCAGATGCAATTTGAAATATAATTGCGGGTTGCGGACGGGTTACCCGCACCCGCAAGAACCCACCCGCACATGGATTTTTATTTATTTTTAATAAAAAAACATGGACCGTTGATTTCATTCATCCTATCCTAGATATTTTTGGCCAACACACCGAACCCTAATTTCATGATACAAAAAGAAATGTTATAGAGAATATTGTTTGAGAACATTGTTTTTGAATGTTTTTGTTTGCTCTATGAACATTGTAGGAAATTGAATCTACTTCTTCATGGAGGGGAAATTGAATCTGTTAATTACTTTTGAAATTGAAATCAATCTTATGTTATATTGAATCTAGAAATTGAAATTGAATTTGGAAATTGAAAAAAGTCCAATCCGCAAACCTCCCGCACAT